TTAATATGATTAATATAATATATATATATAATATATATATATTTAATATATATATATATAATATATATATATTTAATATATATATATACGGACCTATTCTGTACACTTGACAGATTTGTCAAATTCTTTAATAAAATATTTGATTTTTATAAAGCAGAAAACTTTTTGGTATTCTGGACACATCTTGACAAATTTCAAAGCTCAAATACCTAGTGCTTCTCACTACACTATGGTGTAAAGTGTTTTGTATAGAAAACTGTTCGTAATTGTTCGTAACTGTTCGTAAAAAATGCTTGTAAAGAGCACATATTTTAAGTTGCCAAAAGCATTTTTCATGCATTCAAACAACAATAAAAAATATGCTTGTAAAGAGCGTATATTTTAGGTAAGAATATTTGTCATGCATGCAAAAAATAAAAAATGCTTAAAAAGAGCATATTTTTATAGTTGTCAACAGCATTTACAGTATTGACAATTAACAAGGAAAAGAGCTTTTTATTTATGTCACAGAATACCAAAACCTTTACAGCAGTCAATTTTGACAAGTGTCAATGTTTGACAAGTTTATAAAGTGTACAGAATAGGTCCGATAATATATGTATAATATATAATATATATTAATATAATACTAATATGACCAGTAACATTCTGTATTGTATTGAAGACATATGTGAGGGAAGAACTCAGGTAACTGGAAAGGTCACTCCATGACTTATATCTCCAAAAACGCAAGACTGAGTAGTAGCATATTAATCTCTCTGGATCAAACTCATTGTCCCATATTATATATAGAACAAAGTAAATTCATCCAACATGATCTTACTTACTAACTTATATGGCCATAACAACCTATCACCGGATTTTGGCCTAACGCAGCATATCTCTCAAGGCACCTTTGCTGCGTGCACGCCTAGACTCGTACATCAAGTCAGGTTAGTGTTCTCTTAACTTGTTTACTCCACTGAAAACACGGTCTACCTCGGCCTTCTTCCTCCAACTACAACTTCAAATATATTTTTCGCTGGAGCATATTAATCCATTCACCAAAGTGCTCACGTTTATTAAAAACAAAAGTATCGATTATTATTAGTTTATTAGTATTATTAGTGTTGACCAATAGTATTTTCCATCTACTAATAATGATATGGTTTCTTATTTCGATATTGAAATTTAGATAATCTTTGGATATTAAACAAAGATATTATTCTATTTTCTTTTTTTTTCAACCTTAAATATTAATAGTTTTATAACATACAATAACATATAATATATAATATAATGACCTACTGCTCTTAAACTCGGGTTAAATCTTATAATTTTATATATATAATATTGTGATTTAACTATTTTCACATTTCTTATCTATTCAAATTTATTTTTCAAGTAAAAAATTAACCGACTAACTGAGATATAAAAAGCTTTTTTTAGGTGTTCCAAAATATATAGTAGATAGATAGTTAAAGTATGAGGAGGATGTAGGATCAGCTTTAATTAACTTAAAAGTTACTTGTAAAAGTTAGAAAAAACGTTAATTGGACGGACGTGTCAAAAAACACAGCTGCTGAAATGGTGAAAACTTACATGTAACTTTAGATAGTCCCAAGAAATAATAGTTGAACGATATAGATTGTTAATTGTTGAAAATCGAAATGCATAAGTATCATCTTGCGAACAACAATACAGCAGTTCAACTACTTTTCTATTATAACTTTGTGATTAGGAGAGTAAATCGTGGTTATTTTAGATCTACACTGACTCTGCGCTTCAAATCTGACAGAGTACAAGTTTAGCCCTTGGTTCTTGTGGACGTATTAAATAATTTACGAATAATTAAATACAAAAAATATTTCCAAGACCACTGATGATGACAATACTCTAAACAGCTGTATTGTCAGCTAAAAAATTCAATAAATTGAAATAATAAAATTTTTTGTTGTTGTAGTTCACTATTGTTCAAAAACTTTCTAAGTTGTTTTCAAAATGTGCGTGTATCTTAAAAAAGCATTTAGACTCTATTGAGAATATTTATTTTATTAAATGAAAATAATAAGTGTACCAACAAGTATAGATATGTTGGGACATCTTATCCTCTCACGTAAATAATTAGTTAAAATATCTAGTTTTTTTTTTGTTGTTACTTTGACTATTTATATTTTAAATCTATAAACAACGAGTAGCTTGTGTTTGATCAATAATATTAATACATAAATAAGCAACTTTCAAATCAAATTACTGTACATTCTAATTCGATTGCATATCAACGACATTTCGCTGACATTTCACCGTTTTTGTCGCCTTGATTATTTATACGAGGTTATGATGTTAACAGTTTCTGTGTTTACATGTTGCAGCAACCTCAGCTTGTGACATGTTACCTTAGTTTTTATTTTCTCAGTGATTGTGGACAATTTTAGATCGTGTTGTATATCGCTGTTCTTATTGTACCATAGCGCTTTGAAAAAGTTCCGTAAACCTTGTTCTGAAAACTTTGGAATACCATATTTCGACGTTGATTTGGCTAGCGCTCCTCAATAGTTCAGCGCTGAAATTTGATTGTATAGCAGAATCTTGTTTTGCATAGATAGTGTGAATTTCCGATCAATCAGTCGTTTTCGCAAATTCATATTTAGCTCAGCTCGTTTCTTTTTTATGTATTCCTTCCATGGAAGTTTTGCGTCTAGTGCTACATCAAGATATTTTGCACTATTGGCATATGGTATCAGAGTAGCTTGGATCGAAATAGGAAAGTATTGTATATTTTTATTTGAATTATCAAAATGTACAAATTTTAGCAGGATTCAGTTTGATACGCCATCTTTTTGTCTAATTGCCTAACGAACTAGTAATTTGGCTATTGATTCTTCAGTATCTAATGAATTTTTTGTTTTGCTTATAGAAAATTTCATTAAATTATATTCTAAATAATGATCCATTTACAATGTTGAATCTATAATAAGTAGTTTTATGTATTTTTTATTTTTCTATTTTTTTAGCAATTAGTTTAAGTATCTAAAGCATTTTTTTCCATATATATTTTTGCTTCTCTTATAGAAAATTTCATTAAATTATATTCCAAATAGTGGTCCATTTACAATGTTGCATCCATAATAAGCAGTTTTATCTATTTCTTATGCTATATTTTATTATATACATTTAATGGACTCTTTTTGTTTATAACTCTTGAGTGCGTTGTGAAATTGAAATGCTAACATCTCTCATTATAATAAATCGCTATAGCGCTCAAGTTAGTCTATATATTACACCAATTTTTTTATCGTTTGGTTGTAGCGATATGTGTGCATTGATGTGTATTTTTTTACTACAGAAGTACGAGACTTAAGTATTGTGCCACAAATCAGTAATAACAGCCTCATCATCATGTTTTTTGCATGGGTCGTCTTTTTAAGTTCTTCGGGCTTTTTTCTCTCTTACATTACGCGGTGCATTCTCGAGCGGATGTTCTTCAACGCTTTAATTTGAGTTTCTTCCTTGCAACTTAATATTATTTTAAAGACATTTTTACACCTTGTGATAGCTGCTGTGTATGCTGATAACCGCAGGGTTCTCATTTCAGTGCAACAAAGGAAAATGTAATTATCAAGTGTGTTGCCACAAATGAAATATTAACGTTAATTATTGAAAAAGCAGAAATAAAAAAGCGTACCAGTAATAATAAAAAATTATATATTAGATATTATTTTAAGCGTTCGTAGCTCCCGTGGTTCTCATATAATTTTATCATCTTTTACTGTCTTTCGTGTTCTAGTTTGAACGGGATATGGTTATGCGTAATACAGTATGTAAATACCTTGAGCCTATGCCATATCAAGACCATGATGCGTGATATATTATCACATCCTTCTCGAGGTGAACCTGTTTTTCATGTTGGCTATCATGTCGGCATAACAGAACATCATGGATCTAGAGAGGAAAACTCGATAAAACCCGTAATCTCCGGTGTTATTCGACCCGTGCCGATGAGATGAATAGCACTACGTCAGTGTGTTTTTAAACGGAGACCTCCGGATAACTGGCGCCCTCCGGTTGTAATTTAGCCTTATCCGGGTATTGCGGATCTCTGCCCGGATGGACCCTCCCTTCTCCGCAACTCGTGGGTTTAAATATGAATGAACCAATAACTAATAAAAATAAAAATTCTATAGCGGAGAGCTCGGCTAAACAGAGCTCAAAATCTTCGGACACTAAGTGTCCAAACAAGGTACCTACCGCGACTTCCAGTGGTAATAAAAAGGTGCCTCCAAATCATAAACAAAATGTATCGACGCGCTCCGGACCACTAATTCGGTCAGGCCCTCCTGGGAGGAGGAGTTACAAGGAACGCCGAGCGGCGACTAGACTGCTCGAAAGATACGGCAATATTTCGGTTACATCCGAATCTATGAAGGCCAGGATTGCCTGGGCTAAGCAGGTCCTCGATACCTCGAAGGACAAGCAGGAACCTGCTACGAAGCGACAGCGCTCATTAGATGAGTCAGCTTCAAAACCTGATGCCAAAAAGGCAAAATTTCGTGGCAACGCCACAAATGCAAAATCCTTTAGCGACATGCTGAAGGGTTCTTTAATAATGGGAGTCATTGATGAAAATGACCCGGATGGCACAATTACACCTGCTAAGTGGGACTTAATTGAGCTCAAGCTCCTTGACATTTATGTCGATCTCCTGAAGGACTTTCCTGGAGACGGTCCCACTTGTCGCGATAGTGGATGGCATCAGGGCCATGTGAAACTTATCGCCTGCGCAGATCAGCGTTCTGTTGATCTTTTTCGCAAAGCCATTTCCAGAATTGGTGAGGCATGGCCAGGCGCCAAACTTAAGGTTGTTACTAAGGAGCAAATCCCTAGTCGACCAAGAGCGCGTTCCTGGATACCAGCCCATCAGTCCGATCCTCAGCGGATTCTGGAACTTATTCGGCTAGGAAACCGGCAGTTAAACACATCAACGTGGAAGATTACCAAGCTGGAGGAAGTCAAAGGTAAATATAGGTCGGTCAGTTTTGTGATTGACAAAGCATCCTTGGCCACTTTGGCGAAATCAAACGGTGTTATTAACTACGGTTTCTCAGCCATCACAATGAGGGTATATAAAAAGGACGAGGAGCAATCCTTACCTAACGACACAGGTCCAGCAGCACCGCAAGGCACTGTTGATACCATAATGGAAGCGGGTGATATTGAAACTGCTACCGCAAACTCAGTGGGCCCAGTAGAAATACTGCCTACCACTTCTGATTCAATAAATATGGACGTGACTATGTCCTCTCCAGCTCCTTCAATTACATCTGAAGAGAGTATTGGTACGCGCTATCTTTTTGACGAAGAAGAACTTTTGAACTCTGAAAATGAATCTGAAGAAGATAGCGCGCTTGACGTTACAGTGGTGGACACTACCACATCCAAAACAAATCATGATGCGGGTACTACAAATTAACCTGCACCACTGCAAGGCTGCGTCCGCCAGCTTGTTGCAATGCCTCAGCAACAACGAGGCTGATATGGTCCTGGTGCAAGAGCCATGGGTTTTCAAGGATCTTGTCTGCGGACTCAGGACTAAAAACTTTGACTTAATGTATGCGGTAAACAAGGGTAAGCCTAGATCTTGCATATTAATAAATAAAATATATAACGCTCTCATGCTTTCGCAGTATAGTGACAAAGACCTAACCGCAGTAAGTATTGAGGGACCTTGGGGCCAGATATGGGCGGTATCTGCATATATGGCTCATGATCACGAAGAGTTACCATCAAGTAGCCTAAAACAGCTGACAATTGACGCTAGGAGACTTGGTGCAGATATCATTTTGGGTTGCGACGCAAATGCGCACCATGAAATATGGGGCAGCTCAAACACGAATGAACGTGGTGAGTTACTTTTCGATTTTATTTTTAGTAATAATCTTTTTATATGTAATGACGGTAATAGGCCGACTTTTGTTACCAAAAACAGGCAGGAGGTTTTAGACATTACCGTGACTACTGCCAAAATTCATGGGTCTATAAGAAAATGGAAAGTGTCCACTAGACACTCTTTTTCAGACCATATGATTTTAGAATTTTCTATAAACTTAAAGAAATCAAGTACCCCCAGTTTAGAAACTTTCAGAAATGTCAGGAATACAAACTGGACAAAGTACAAATCATCTATAAATGAGCTGTTGACAAACTCTACTCTTTATCCGCCAGAGAATATAAATGATCTGGACGAGCAGGTAGGAGATCTTACCTCAATACTTAATGAAGCTTTTAACCTTGCCTGTCCTTCAACTCGACCTAGTAGGAAGAGTAACCCACCCTGGTGGAATAGAAACTTAGGTCAATTGAGGAAAGAATGCAGGAGACTTTTTAATAGGGCAAAGCTAAATAGAAATGAGAGTGACTGGTCTGAATACAAGATCTCTCTGCAGAATTATAAGAAAGAACTACGTAAGTCTAAGAGGACTAGTTGGCAATCATATTGTCAAGAGATTAGTAGGGACTCTGAAACCTCTAGACTACGCAAAATCCTATCTAAAAATCCATCTGTCCCTGAGTTGCTAAGAAAACCGGATGGGACTTGGTCAAATAACAGTAGGGAGTCACTAGATTTATTACTAGATACCCACTTTCCTGGATCCTTTGCTTCGACGGAATCCTCAGAATATTTAAACTACGCACCGGTAAACTCTATCAAGTTAAACCTACAAACTCTAAAATGGGCCATTTTTAGCTTTAAGCCATATAAATCACCAGGACCGGATGGTATTCATCCTATTGAGCTGCAAAACTCTTGGGATCAAATACAAAACTGGCTTCTGGCCATTTTTAAATATTGTCTCATTTTTAATTATGTTCCAACTCAATGGAGAAAGGTTAGAGTTGTTTTTATTCCTAAGGCGGGTAAAACCTCTCATAGTAACCCTAATGAACTCCGTCCAATTAGTCTTTCATCTTTCATGCTGAAAGCTTTAGAAAGAATTATAGACTTTGAAATAAGGCGCGTTATAGATCCCAATCTTTGGTCACCGTCACAACACGCCTACACTAAGGGTAAATCCACAGAGACAGCACTCCATGCCCTCACCTGTACTATTGAAAAAACTCTTAAAGTAAAAGAATTTTGTATAGTGGCTTTCGTAGATATTGAAGGAGCTTTTAACAATATTCTTCCCAATGCAATAGCTAACGCACTCTCGCGTCTGGGTGTTGAGGATGCGCTCATCAGCTTTATCGGTCAGCTACTAACTGGCAGAATTATTGAAGCACAAATGGGTGTATCAGCAACACACAGACGGGTAAATAGAGGTACCCCCCAAGGGGGCGTACTCTCTCCTCTCCTCTGGAATATAGCGGTGAATGAACTGTTACAAAAACTGGGGAGAGCGGGATGCGGGACAGTTGCATATGCGGATGACATTGCACTAACAGTTACTGGAAAATATGCTACTAGTTTAAGGGATATTTTGCAGTATGGCCTGAATATTCTTAACAATTGGACACTGACATGTGGTCTCGGGGTTAACCCCAGAAAAACAGAAATCGTAGTATTTACCAGAAAACATAGGGTTCCAAATCTTTCTCCACTCTATATTAAAGGTTCTGCGATACAATATATTGAGAAAGCAAAATTTTTAGGCATTGTTTTCGATAGGAAACTGAGCTGGAAAGGAAATGTTTTGGAGCGGGCTAGGAAAGCAAACATTGCTTTGCTCCTTTGTCAAAAAGCTATTGGTAAAAGGTGGGGTTTGCAACCACGTATCGCTCAATGGCTATACACTGCTGTCATTAGACCAATACTTCTGTATGGCATTGCCATATGGTGGACAGCTCTTGATAAATCTTCGTACTGTACGGTACTGAACAGGGTTCAGCGCAGGGCTGAACTCTGTATAAGTGGTGCTCTGTGTACAACACCATCTATAGCACTAGATCTAATGCTCCATTTAATGCCACTTGACATCATCAGTAAGCAGTTGGCAGCATCATCTGCCCTAAGACTTAAGGCTACTTCACAATGGAAGGCTAGTGACTATGGGCACGGCTCGATTCTAAATATTTTCAGTCCTACTCCAAATAACATTGACTACACCTCTCCGATTCTCGACTTTGATAGAAAATTTATTGTTAGATTCCCATCCAGGGAAGCTTGGTTGTCAGGAGGTCCCTCCCTGGGTGAGGGTCTGCAAATTTTTACTGATGGTTCAAAGACTGGGAGCGGCGTAGGCAGTGGAGTTTTCTCAGAGGGGCTGAATATATCCTCCTGCTATAGGCTTCCGGATCACTGTAGTGTTTTTCAGGCAGAAGTAATTGCCATTAAGGAAGCTTTAGCTTGTCTAGAAGTAGGTAATATACTTGAAAGGAATATATATATACTATCGGATAGTCAAGCTGCTTTAAAGTCCTTGAGTTCTGTCCAATTCACATCTAGGACGGTCCTTGACTGCTACACATCTCTAAATGAGATGTCGACGCAGTTCAATATTTCTCTAATCTGGGTTCCCGGTCATAGGGATATTTACGGCAATTGTAAAGCAGACGAGCTAGCCAGACGTGGTGCTTCAGGGAACCACTCGGAACACCTAAACAATCTGGGCATATCGTTGACTTCATGCAAATTGATTTTGAGTTCTTCCTGTGCCGAACTTTTAAATAAAAGATGGGAAGACTCTGCGATATGCAGGCATCTGTATGCAATGTGGCCACAGACCAACAATAGAAAATCGAAATCTCTTTTAGAGTTATCCCGTAGAGATATCAGTCTTGTAGTGGGTTTACTAACAGGTCATTGTATTCTAGGTAATCATGCTAGGAGACTGAATCTACCGTTCAACCATTTTTGCCGCAGTTGTGGTGAGGATGACGAAAGTGCCTCTCACCTGCTTTCTTCGTGTCCGGCACATGCACGGCGTCGCCTTAAATTTTTGGGGGCTTTCTTTTTTGAGGATCTTGACGAACTTCGAGAACTCCCTCTATGTAGCATTGTAAACTTTGTTAAAGGTTCTGGATGGTTTTAGCCCGTGGGTTCTAAATAATACGGTATCACAATGGGCCTATGGGCCTAAGTGGATCCCCCTGGGATCGCCGGTTTAACCTAACCTACTGTCTTTCATCGCAGTTAATTGTTCGCTATGGGGTTAATTTTAACTATTCTTCGGCTACGAGTGTACACACGCTTCAACTAACTTCAACTAACTTCTTTTAGTTTTGTATTTGAGGTGTTAGATTTTATAAAAAGCTACTTTAAATAATCTTAGTATGTCTTTAAAAACTTACATATAATTTTTATTTTATATAGATAATTATATTGGTTGTTTAGGCCTAGTAACGACCATTAAATATAATTTTGTAAAAAATGTTTTTAATTTCAATGTTTTTTCTGTGTTCAATATTTTTTATTCTTTATGTTTTTTTATATTATTAAGGTCGAAAAATTGTCTTAATATGAAACTGCATTTTCGATTTCCAACTTTTCATACATTATTCGAGTGTTTAAGGTTTTACCTCAAGAATAATGCATTTGGTGTGGATGACTTTTTTACATAGACTAGTCATTTCAAATAATAAATGAATTGCACTATCTAAAAGGTCATGCTATAGTTTCATTTTTAGAGATATCAGAATCATCGTACCGGCAATAAGTCACAATATCTGAGAGGTCACGTTACAGTTCCATTTCTAAAGATAATAGAGTCAACGTAACAGCGATAAATTATATGATCTTAGAAGCCATGCTACTGTTTGACTTTTAGAGACAATAGAATCATTGTGCAGACATATTTGATATGCCTTAAAACATGTTATTGACTATTATATCTTTTATCTTTTCAATTGGTTAATATACACATGTCTAATAAGGTTGCAGTATATTATTATAATTTATAATTCCTTAGATATTTTTTCTATATATTCTTTAAAAGTTAACATTATACAAAAAGACATATAAATCGTAAAGGTTTAAGAAAAATTTTAGGTGACATTTCATGGGGGTTGTGCAATAGTTAATTTTTAAAAATGTTTCTAAAAACAATACAACTGTAAAATTGTAGATTTTCAAGTAAAATCTAATTAATAATCTAAGTCGAAAATGAAAAATACAAATATTTTTTGAAATATTATTTTGAAATATTTTTTCGATTAATTATTTTTATTTAAAGTTGTTTTAAAAAAATTACATCCTACAAATGTCGACTTGCAAGTAAAATTTAATAATAAATCCAAAGCATAAATAAAAAATTAATTAGATTATTGTTAATCACTTCATCAGACTAAGCAATAATTGACCTCAGATCTGCATACCTCGCCGAGGAGCCTATAACCATTCTGAGATTTGACAACGCAGTGTTGGTAAGTCTGTCAGTTTTCGGAAATAATTTCAGGGCTCTGTCCTTTATGTATTTTTTGATGGGATCAATCTTGATGTCTCTGAGGATATTATTTGTCCTAATGCACCATGGAACTTTGAAAAGTCTTCTCAGAGCCTGGCTTTGTGCAATTTCTAGCTGGTGAATAGTAGAGTTGGAAGCTTTGCTAAACGCTACACAACCATATAAAGTGACGGACCAAAATTTTTTTTTTTGTCATAATAAAATTTCTACTAAATCGGGGATGACGAAGTTAGTTTTTGTTAAAATCTATCCCGTTTATTAAAAAAGACGCATATAATAGTTAGCTAAAACAACTAAACGTCTTAAAGCTGTTAAAATAAACTGTTTTAAAGAAAGTATATGTTTTTTTACTTAAACTTTTTTGTTTTTTAGTAGAC